TTTTGTTTCTTTATAATATATGTTGAAACAAACTTGTGTTCTATGGTCCGAGAAGTTTGCAAGTGTTGGACACACATGACGTTCAACTAACAATGGAATTGATCGAAATGTTTGGTAAATATTGAAAAAATGATACAGATCAGTATGATGAATTGCATATTTCGGTTCAATATATATGTTTAAATATTTGAAATTTTTGCATGGAGATAAAAATTGTATTCAATTTCGATGATCGAGAAATGATCAGCTAGATGCAGCTGCTGGAGAGTCTAATTTCAAATATTGAAGATTTGGAATTGATTCTGAAAGGAAATATAAATGTTTAAATTTGGCTGAATGAAGTTTTAATATTAGTTTTGATAAATGAATTAAATTTTCAATAGGTTTGTACATAATAATAGGATTGATATGTTGACAAGTTAAAAAGCCATTGAAATATCGAAGATAAGATGCATATGGAAGAAATATCTGAAGAAAAGTAAATGAATGGCAAACCAGATTTTGATTCAATATCAAAATATTCTAAAGTAGATGTCGCTTTTTCATTATTTTTCTGCTCGTGAATTACAGAAGTAATATAAACTCGGCCATGAACTTATGATAGTTTAATTTGACAAGATTTCAATTGTGACATTCGTAGTCGAAAATCAATGACTAATTCTTCACATATATTTGTCGCATATTTGAATATGATCAAAGAATAAAGAGACAAAAATAGATTTGAATTTTTCATTTTTAATAAATCATAATCATAATATTATAAAGATTTTAATTGTTGTAAACAAATAGCTGATAAAAGAATATTAAGATTATTTTGATCAATTATTAATGTATAATATGATAGTAAATGATAATCAATTAATAATCGACTAAAATATTGATTTAAATTATAAAATGATTCAATTAATTCATTTACATAGAAATATTCAAATATGGAAATATGTAATTCACTACTCAAATCTTAGAATACAGATGGTTTTCATAGCGCCATCTAACATAAAAAAAAAACATGTAACTTTGTAAAAAGAAAAAGGGTTTTGCAAGTAATTGCGCAGTTGAATTCGTCATATTCTTCTCATATAAATTCGATACGAAATAGAAAAAAAGCTATTTACTGTGTATCATAGTTCTAAGTAACTTAAGGAGTTGATGGTTCGTCAATAACAAACTAATTATTTTTTATAGCAAATATTACGAATACAAAAAGCAAGAAAACGAACAAAATGATCGTTTTCAATGATATCATTTATCGATCAATAATGTTATTACGAAAGTATTATAAATGCCTTACCGAGTATTCTGATGCAAGATCTATCAATAACAAAAAAGAATTAAGATAGCAGTGGGTAGTTTTGATCTACCGTTCTCTGAGTTATGAATCCAGCGCTCTCCTACTGAGCTACACTGCTTGTACATCTTTTTTTGCTACGGAATATTTTATATATTTACTAGATAAAGTGTTTGTTTCATATGACTTAGTAAATATATGTATCCCGAAAGAACAAGAACAAGAACAATCTCACACTCACATTCTCAAGATGTTTTGGAATAAAAAGGAATAGAAAGAAAAATTGAAAATAAATAAATATATATATATCGTGACCATAAATCATCCAAGGAGAGAAACACAACGTCACAACACAACATATACAAATGATGTATAGTATGGAATAGACACACACCAAACTCAAATTCTTTGGGTTTGCATAAGTTTGAATTTGCATTCTTTTGTGTCTTAGAGAATGAAAGCTTCGATATCGGATCCAAACGACCCCTATTCAATACCTCAAATTGAATAATTCACAAGGATTTACGTTCAACTTATGTGTAATTCCAGCGTTCTACTCAAACTTATACTTAAATTCAGACTTCCAAATAGTTTTGGTTTGTGTTTATCTTTGCTGCATGTGTAATGTAGAAGAAATCAACTTGGGGATGTGAATGTATGTGAGAGACGAATCAAATACTTACAGTTCAATTCTAACCGACATCTACAATCATCCGTGTAATCTATAAAACTTTTATATATCTGTGGAGTCTGCGTTTACTACCACAATATAGAAAATAAAGGGATCAAAAAGATTCATTATGAATGAATTTCGAGCTCACCAATCAGAAAATAGCTAGTGAGTGTTACTTTGATACGAAAGTTCTTTCAAAAATGAGATAAATGACAAAATATCGCATTTCTGTCGTTTTTTTTTTCATCTAAAGCGTATTCATTTTACTGTTATCAGTTATTAAACACAACATCATCTTTCTTTTTCTTTATTACATTAAATTTAGTTCAGAACATAAAATGGTCTAAATCGAGTTTCTTCATAAATGCACCAAACATTTTTCGTCACGACTTTTTTTTTTCTAAATGAATCAATTCGTTCTCAAGTCTACTGTTCTATGTAAAACATAGAATTTTTCTTCTTGCAATCAATCTGTATCGTAATGTTGAGTTTTAGATCAATGATTTCTTCTTTACGATGTTTATTCCTATACTTTTACTTCATCTTCAATGCTATCAATCCCCTACAAACAGTTCCAAACGGGTTTTTACTAGGAGCATCGTATGATCCTGTAGCATCATCGAACTCATTATTCAAAATTGATCCATTAAGCGGAAAATTTACACTCCTCACACCTTTAACGAATTACAAAGCATACGATGTTACTTATGATTTTATTCATAAAATTTTCTATGTTTTTGGTAGTGAAGCAACGTTAGAAAAAGAAGCAGCATTGTCAGTGGCCATAGTTAATCCATTCAATGGCACAAAAAAATATCGAACAATTACGACAGAACGTTATGCCGAACTATTTGGTTTACGTGTTGATAGTAGTACAGGGAAATTATACTCAGTACAAATGAATGACGCATTAGAAAATCCGACAAGTATCGTTCAGATAGATCCAAGTAATTTTATAGCGAAACGATGGGTAAATATAAGCAAAGCCAGTGGTGTACAACCTGATTCTATGGCAATCTTTTTTAATTCAACGGATCATCAATATTTTGTAACAGTGCCCTATGATTCTGATTATCTTGTTGGTATTGATGTCATTAAACGAAAAATAATCAGTGAAATAACCAATTCAAACTTACCAGCTTATTTATGTTATGATAATAAAACGAATGCTTTTTATGGTATGGAGATTTTCCAGACAGAACGTGGCTGTCGTTTAGTGCGTTTAAATCCATATAATGGTACAATGGAGATTTTATCCAAAGATTTTAAAGATTATGAACCATCGACTGGTGCTTGTCATGAAGGATATTATTTTACAATGATTGTCGAGGGTCTAGATAAACAAAATATTGTCACATTTGATTTAAGCAATAAAGCCAAAATAATTGCAAATAAACCAGCACAAGAATATTTAGATTCATTTGCATTTGTCCCACTTTAGTTACAACATATTTTTGTACCGTTCTGTGTTTCATTGCAATAAAAACTCAATTAAATTTCTATATAGATGTTTATTATGAAGAGAATTTAGGGATACACTGATGTTAGATTATTGTTCGGTGATATTTAAGTGAGAGTAATGCTTGGATTTCGTTGCTTCCAGAAGAGAATTTTTTTCAATTCCAGGTAATTTTCCAAAGCAAACAAATAGAAAAAGAAATACATGTAATTTTTGCAGATTTCCCAATGAATTTAATGATAAACCAAGTAGACCACATAATGGTAAAATTGTCCATGGAAATTGAAAATCAGCAAAGACAATGAAGATTGATAAGACTTGAATGATTAATTTTCTTTGTTTTTTCCATTGTATTGATTGTTTCAGATTTGCTCTTTGTCGTATAAAACGAAAAAAAAAGTGAGAAAGTCGAGATATTTATAACAGAGAATAAAACAGGCCTACTTTGTCTAGGCCTGGTCGGCCTACGGCAGGCTGTCGATCCCTTTGGCCTACATGTGCCTGCGATATGTTTTTTTCGGCCTGGCCTGTTTGTCGTGGCCTGTGTAACTTTTTACATGCTAATATTAGGATACAATTTGAATGAAAATAGAAGACTGTATTAATAAGAACATAAGGAATTCCTATAAATCTAAATGAGTTAAATAGGAAAGACTTTTATTAATTGAGAATCTTACATATCTGACGTGAATAGATAAATAAAAGCATAAAATTAAAGAAAAAATTCTATTTTTTCATTGCGAACGCTTTGAATAGAATTGCACGCTAATTAGAACGAGTAGATCAAGTTTAGATTTTATAATAATAAATGTGAAGAAGAGAATAATTAGGATTAGCAAATAATTTATATAACACAACACTAACAAGCGATTTAAATGTGTGAATAGTGACTCAGATCAGATCAATAGATCGATAATTTGCATGAAAGAACGAGCAGTAAATAATTTATCATATTTTATTAATAGTCATGACTGTATCTAGTTAGAATGATCAAAATCCATTTTTAATATTATATGATCAAAGATATCTTTACTTTATTGCTTCATAACTACAATTTCTGCGCTAAAAATGAAGTTTTTATTGAAAATCTCAAAAAGCATGACAGATAGACAGGTAGACAGGCCTAATGACCTGTTTTATCCTCTGACACCGAAATTAGAATTTCATTTTTACAGTCATTTATTGATTATAAGAAATCAATCGAAATAAACGAGATTATTCAAGTACCGCGAATTATTTATGATTTTTTTATGAATAATATAGCCAGTATCCATATCAAATATAACCAAGGTATTACCATCTCCTGTATTTTTCGTCGACCATAATGTAATTCATTGTCATTCTTTCTAAGCTAATGTATATGTTGTTGACCAGAAATGATTTCCATCCATTGGTATCGAACAATTTCCAATTCTTTCAAATGTCATTGTTGATGAACTTTTGTCAATAGTAATCGATGCAATAAACCAAGCTTTATCAACAACGTTATCGGAATAAACAAGCGATAGTAACCGAACTTTTATTGAATCATAAACCAATGCATAAATCATATAATCATTTGGTACGGATATCTTGGTATCTCATATTCCTGAATCAACATTAACTCCACAAAATAATGATGAACTAATAATATTATAGTAAATACGACGTTGACGTCCAAATGCCATAACAAGACTATAGGTTCCATATGCATATAAACAAATTGTATTCACTCGACCTATTGTTTGATCAAGTACAGCTAATTTAAGAGAAGCATCGGGATGAGCAGATTCTCGAATTTCAACAAGTTGTGTTTCATCATCGGCTATTTGCCAAAATGATCCGTAACCAGGCCCATTAATTGACACGTTATTGATTAATTTCGGTGTTTTCTCAACATCAATTGTAAATAGAAAATAATGTGATACACCAAGGTCGTCATATACAAAATATGTAGAAACGTAACTTTCATTATAAATATTTCTCGTTGCAGTTGCTCGACTTACAAATAATGCACGATTAAGATCTAATAGCCGATCATATTTCGAAGAATTATCCATTGCTTGAACAAGTGATATGTCACCAACTATTGATGCATCAGCACCATAGAGACGACCATGATATGGGAATGTTATCTTAACATTCAAAGTTCATACGAATAAAAATACGTCGCCACATATGAATCAAATATTGTCGTTCTCTTTTCAAATCAATCTCCATAAATATGAATAGTCATTGATATCAATATCATCATACCAACGCACTTTTTTTTAGATACTTTCAATTTACTCATTAGATTTATTGACTACGCGCTTAATACTTTGATCATACAAAAAAATTGGTAGTAATGGTTCGTTAATCTTCTATTAAAAAAATTGGGGTGTGGGTGTGGACTTGGATGTGGCTGTGGGTGTGGTGTGGTGTGGTGTGGTGTGGATGTACCTGCCGATGTTCTTTGAATCAGCATCCACAGCCACAGCTACAGCCATAGTCACACCAATACCCACATCCACACCCTCCCACACCCCACACCCACACCACACACCCACAGTCCACACTCCACCCTAATTATCTTGGTTGGTCTATTCAGGTTTCTTCTGCCGCGAATTTTCCATCACTGATTATTTGGTTAAAACTGCAAGCTGAATTGTTTTATTTGAAAGTAATTAAGAGCACACTTTTCTGTCATAAATCAAACAGTGCCAAACAATATGCATATGTATCAATTATAAAATTTGTGTTATTTGATAATATCTACATGACTTTATTGATAGTTGTTCTGTTATCTAAATTCCAAACAGATTGTCTTTTTTCCTGAATGAAACTTGAAAGCTTTTCATTTATTTCCATTTGAAATAATACTTTTTTTCAAATCTTTATCTTTATATTTAAATACTGTCTCAATTTAAATCAATGAAAACAATATACAATTACCAATAATTGTTTTGCCACATTGACTTTAATAGAAGTCATTAAATGACTAATACCTGCCATGTGTTTCTAATTTAATTTTTGCTTAGATTCAATCTATTCTTGTTTTATTTTAAATATATTTTAAATTTTATTTCGTGCCTTTTTAAGAAAGGTATTCGAAATGTTTTTGAATTGATACTGTGAGTAGTATCAATTTAACTACTGCATTTACAATTTGATGACTTTCTCAAAAAATGTACGGTAATTGCGAATTAAATTTTAGTTTGATAAAATAAATTATTTTTTCGAAACTCACTAGGCATGGGATTCTCTTAATACATGCTATGGCAAGTACGTAAACTTACCACGAAATATGCATTTTATTGTATTTGTATACGTGTTCGTTCTTTCTTTCCTTCGATATACATTATTAACTAGAGTTATTTTCATTCTTCGTTCTGTCCGATGTTTTTCTCACTCTTCTCTTTAATACCGTTTCTGTTAGTGTGATACAATGACTCATGTATTTTTTTAACTTTATTATCTTTTCTTTTATTGTTTTTTTTTCCTACTTCTTTCTCATATATAATGTATAGACCTATTTTCTCTATAATAAAAAAAATCAATGTAAGTATTATACATAAAACTGTTCTGGTTAATACGATTTCTCACTAAGTGGAAGAAATTAAACTAGAATTGAATGGTTTATCGTATAAAAATGAGAAAACTACTTCGATTCAATAACAATCCTTAGGGTGTTGGTGTGTGGATGTGGGTGTGGGTGTGGGTGTGGGTGTGGGTGTGGGTGGGTGTGAGGGTGTGAGTGTGGTGTGGATGTGGGAAGTGGTTTGACTATGGCCGTAGCTGTGGCTGT